GGGCTCCCCCCGCGCCACCGACGACGTGTTCACCGGCGTCCCCCTGGACGCACGCAACGTCTTCCTCTACCAAGGTGAGCAGGGTCCTCAGCGGGAAGCTGGATGCTGTCATCACCCTGTGCGTGCCCCTGAACCGGGCTCCTTTCCGCTAACGCCTTCTCTCTGCCCCTCCTCACCAGACAAGTACCACTTCTGCCAGGGCAGCTTCTACTGGCGCATGACGCCGCGCTACCAGGTGGACCGCGTGGGCTACGTCAAGTACGACATCCTGCAGTGCCCGGAGCACTAGCACCTGACTGGCCGCCTGCTCCGGCCGGTGCCCGCTTCCACCAGGCTCCGGGTTCTCGCTGTTGGAGCCCCTGTGTCCCGGGACACAGGGGGAGCCGGTGCCCAGCGCCGCAGGGCGGCTCCGCGGCTCCCGGGAGCCCTGGCTGGGGAGCAGGACTCTGTCTGCAGCCCGCAGCGCCCTGTGAGCGGCCGTGCTGCTGCGGAGGCGTTTGCCTGGTGCAAATTGCACAGAGAGCTGCGGTGACTCCGTCTTTCTCCAGGGCCAGCGATGCTGGGTCAGCCCTGGCTCAGCTGGGAGCTGGTGCTGGGGACTCGGCACGGGCAGGGACATGGGGCTCTGCATCGCTCGCGCCTGCTGTCTGCTCTGCCACCTCCGTCCACACGTTTGTAATAAAGAGAATCCTTTGGACATCGCCTGTGTTTGCTCTTCCTGTGCAGCACCTGGACGCTGCTTTCCCTTTGAGCAGCGCTCCAGCACAAACTGGGACTGGGCACGGGGAGGAGGGGGCTGCAGTCCTTGTGCTCTCCACTCCCCTACAGGACACCAGACCCCGCTGGGGAGGGCTCCCCCATGCCTCTAGTGCCCCTGTCACCAGCCAGGTCCCCCGCACGCGCAGCCCTGTGTCCCTCCATGCATCATTGCTGCCCGCCTGTCACCTCTGCCATGTGCCGGTCACCCAGCGTCCCCACCACGGGCTGCCCGGCCCCAAGGGGACCCCAGGGCTCTCCCCGCTCTGTCATCCTGTGACCAAGCGCCGGGCTTGTCCCGGGAGCCGCAGGTGTCTCGTTCCTGTTGCAGTCGAGCCCCAGCTCCAGCCTCCGCGCCGCGGGCGGCCCTGGGGGCCGTGGCGGCCGTGGCAGGACGGGGCTGTAATTACAGCTATAATTAGCGCTGCCTGCTCGGCACAGGGCGGCGGACAAAACCCGGCG